ACCAGCACGTGCAACCTCAAACAACAACTTGGACCCAAATCCAACCTGTGAAATGGTATTGCTACACAATACCGTTAATACTTGATTGACTAGTGCTGAATGCAGATTTTATTGTACAATAGGGGATTGCTTACAGAGATTTTCGACTTTCCCTGCCAGCATCTACGTTAGGCTAATATGCTATTCACGAAGCACTGTTGACTGCGATAGACAGCCACCGTTGACCCATGTTTCATATTTGGCTTGATAAGGGAGGCTGAGATGCTGTTAGTATGGACCATATGAATACTGACCGAGTTACGTGATCTTTCCCTAGTAAGATGCTCGCGAGGACATAGGAAGCACTCATTCAGATCTGCGTTCGACACAGAACGCGAGTTTAATCAATTCATGTTCTCCAAGATCATATCCAAGGTTCCCGATGCGTTCAAGTACCATGCAGCAAGGGTATTCAAAAGAACCATGAGATTGTCTTCACCCACAGTGGCTTGGCCCCCAGGAATATACTGGTCAAAGATGGCCATGTTACTGGTATTCTGGACTGGGAGCATTCCGGGTGGTATCCAGAATATTGGGAGTATGAAAGGGCGTATCGGCATTTTAATGATGTGCCTGGGTGGCTAGATTATGTTGATCTCTTTTTACCCTGGAAGTACTCTGAAGAGATAGTGGCGATGTCATATTTATCTAAATACAGCCGTTGAATGGTCGATATGATCCATTACGTTAACTACTACCAAGGAAGCACCATCCCGACGCACGATGTCACCCACCACAATCGACAAAGATATCGCAATATTTCAACTAAGCCAAATGCCGGTGTCGTAAACCTCGCATCTGCATGATTCTCGTAATCTTCCTGAATCACGAGCATCGGGGTCGAAAGATACCATAGCCCGTCCCGCGTATCATTCGGAGCACAGTTATTTCCAAAAGAAGGCTCTTGGTTCCCGGCACATATCAGAAAAGATGCCCCTCATCTGAAATGGACTAGTTAACATCATGAGGACGCAGCTCAGGGTTCATCTCCAATGCGTGGACGCTTAGACACGTCTCAACATGCTGAGGTAAATCGGCCTCTCGATAGGCTCGAAAGGAAGATTCCCAGCCTAATGGGCATGGTTCTTCGCAGCCCCAAGGCCCACGCCCATCGAATAGTACCTCCTCTCTCCAGAAGTAAGCGCAAGCGGTACAGTAGACTCCTGCATCTGTAGCCTGTGCCCGCTTGTCCCAGTAGGGGAACGGCACCGTGGCCATGAACTTCATGCGATTCCTTTTTCTCTCGCTCCAGAAACATCCGCCCCCAGGAATCCCGTGTCGTTGGTATGGCGTCGGTTCAACTTCAGATAAATAGACACCTTCTCCTTCGATTATATGGACAGTTGCGTCTAGTACCTCTGCCTCCTCCGGCCCATAAAGCTTGGATACAAGGTTCTTGCACTGCGAGATGTTTGCCATACAGTCTGGGGGGTCATGAAGCCAAATATTGTGAACAAGTTGGAGGTCGTTCAGGTCCTCTTCCTCAATTCCAAAGTAGTAGCAGATATTCTTCACAAATCCCAATCCGTACGAACTCTTATATAAGTTGCATTCGTAGCAACATCTCTGCATGGTTGGAATGTATAGAAACGGCCCAAAATTTGGGCACGTTCTGCACTTAGGCTGACAGAATTCATTGAATATCTGTCCGATGGTGTAGTGCGAAGAAAGTTTCATCTGGCGCATCAAATTGAGAGTCTCGTGCGCATGGGTTTTGAGGACGGGGTAATCCAGCATGGTTTCCACCTGCTCCTTGGTCTTGCTGTTGACTAGGAGCATCATTCCTATTGACCTCAGATCCAGGAATCGAAGTATTTCATAGGCCAGTTCGAGAGGAATTATAAACCCAAGGAATATATTGGCTTCAGAGTTAAATCCTTCCTTGGATTTGGATATTTTCGGGACTGGAAGGGACATTTTCTTCGGTGCTACTGGCCTCTGATAGCCTTCCAGGAGGAGGATCTCCGTGACTGGGTCCTGGGCCCGAAATCCGTCCCCGTTCGCCACTGAGAGAGCTCGGTTCATCTTGAGTAGGTAAGACTTGGCCAATCGATCGTATGCGACGCTATCGAAAATGGGCTCCATCATGTGCTGAGTGGTAGGTTCACAGTGAAGTTTGCAGGTGTCAATGATTAGCTGCACAGTTGTATGTTGTTAAGAAAGATTTAGTGTTTTCAGGATCACAACAGATGTCACCCTTTATATTTTGCATCGCCGCGGCGACACGTTGCTAGCACAATAAGTTTACCGAAAAACAAATTACAACGTGGTAATCCCAACTTTGATGATGCAATACCTTAAGGATCCTAGGATACAATGAGCTTCTAGTAATTTCATCTGCTATTGTCTAATGCGAGTAATCAATTGGAGTTCTGAATGCTTATGCTGACACCTACAGGGAGGCTGAAATTGCCAGCGTGGAAGCATTGCTAGTTGCGTTTGTATAGTTGGGTCTGGTGCACAGTTCCCCCAAAACTAATCAAAGACTTTCAGATGGTGGTCAGAATCGGCGATCCGGACAATGTCTTCACGTTCTGTTCTGAGAAATTGTAGTAAACTTATAAACGAGTCTCCCGGGCCAAGGTCTCCATAATGCCTTCCTGATGTAATGACTGCTACATGCATGTTACTGATGTGCGCTTCTTGAATACATTTACAGTTATTTGTCTTGCCAGTCATCAATAGCGTGCCCCATCTCAGCGACAATGCACTGATAGTTTTACTCTTCTTGAGATTGAATTAGAGTTTTGGCAGCTTCTTCGATCTATCGTTGTTAATGTTCGTTCACTACAAATGGTATGTGGGATAACATACCGTGCCGCAAATCTTGTTAATCTCGAACAGCTTGGTGGCATTTGGAGAGCTTTTGGCTTTGATACATCGTGCATATCGACTGACGATATGACATAGCCCCGGCAAGCCTTGTGTGCACTCGAGCATCAACTGACACGCATCGCCCCTGCTGATCTTGATGTTGACATTCCGTTCAAACAGAGCGGGGTTGCGGAAGCATAGTTCCAGTGTCGCAATAGCCATGCCCTGAGGCACAGCGCAGAAATTGAAGATGCTCTGCTCATTCAACCCAGCCAGATAAAAGATACATTCCTTGACATGCTCAAGTGCGTTGAGAATCATCTCAGAACTGCACTCTATGGCCGCCTCACGATTCTCTGGCTTGAACAAATCTGCAAAGTTGCTGACGTACTTAGACCGTATCTGATGGGGCCAGAACCGACGATTGTCTTCGTGATCTTCACTGACGTCGCGGATGATGTTGGTCTTCTGCAGAAAGAGACTCATTGACCGAGGTAAAGTTGGGTTGTCGAGTAATGACGAGTTGCAAAGTTGCGCTTCGATGAAGAAGCGGGTAAGACCCTCACCGACACAGCCGGCAACATAATAGCAGTACAGCTCATACTCGGCTATAGTCATGACGCCAGCATTATCTGGATGGCCCAGGGTAACCTTGTGGCAGAAGTCGGCCACTCCGTTACCCATTATTTTAGTTATGTCCTTGATAATGTGTTTGTAGGCTGGCTTCAAAGCTTTATACTCTTTGATAACGTGATGGAAGTGAACAAGCAGTTCGCGGTCCTTCTCTTCGGGACGGTTGCCATCGTATGTCCACCCGTCTTTCATTATTATATTTTCAGACTCACGAAGCAAGGTCTGCTTGGTCTTCACAGTAATAGAAGGGTCGTCTTCTATGGTGTCGAGACCGCGGAGGACAAGGTAGAAGATACAAATCGGGACGAGCAGTTCGGAGTGGAGCTCCTTAATGATAACGCTGAAGCTCCGGCTGGTTTGATCAAGAAACTTGAAACAAACCTGCCGAGATTCCCTCTCACTTATGATGTTGGATCGATTATTCGGATTGTGTTGGGTCATCCTATGATTGTGAAAATGCATTCCGTCAGCTATCAATGGTAGGACAATGGGTGTGGGATGATCACCATTGCAGGACATCCGTCAAATGAAATGAATTAAACACATAGTAAAGAGCATTGCTAATTGGTTCCATCTTTATTGATATACAAATAAGAAAACGAATTTTGCGATGGCCAAATTTCACATGGTTTGGACTCTAGGGGGCTTTTAAGGGTATAGAACGTGGAAGCGGAGCGGAGCGGGATTCGCATCCCGCGATTTTAGTTGCGGGAGCGGATTTCGAATTTTCATCCCCCCGAAATCCGTCCACCGGGGGGTGCAGCTAATTCCAGGAACTCTACATTCGCGGTGCAGCGGCGCCTGAATTCCTATTGGACTATCCAGTGTCTCAATTACGCTTCACATTTCTTTGCTGAGTTAGATGGAAAAGACAGCACGTAAAAATGGAAAGCCGGCCGCATACGGCCGAGCATGCATCAACTGTGCTCGCGTCAAACGCAAATGCATGTTGCGAGCCAATGGAGATGGATGTGAAAGGTAATCCGCCTCTCGAAAACACCATTGGCGATCGTTGGCTCATATACATGGTCAGATGCTTTCGACTCAAAGTAGAATGCAACCCCTCTCCTACCGTCCGCAAAAGTGGCTCGAGACCCAACGGCTCTCAAGCTGCTCGTCTGGAGCAGAAGTTAGACGGGCTCGTTTCATTATTAAAAGCTCGCCAGGGTAGCCTTGAACCCGAAGAAACTGCTTCGTCATCAGGGTCCTTTATATCAGCTCCCTCTCGCGCTTCAGTGCCTGCAGATCGTGGGTCGCATGCACAACCGCTTGTTGGTGATCTTGATAGAGTAGCTACAGATCAAGGCAACAGGTATTCGGCTAATACCTCACAAAGCTGGAGCCTATTCCCACACAGCCATTCCGAGGGTCTCGATCCATCGTCTCGCGATACAAGACAACATTTCAAAGCGTTCTTTAGTCACTATACCGAATTTCTCCCTCTTCTATTCCTTGAGAATGGGTCGACCTCAGAAAAGCTGTACCGAGAGTCACCATTCCTCTGGCTGTGTATAATGGCTGTGACATCTACAGATGCAAAAGAACAGAGCAGTCTAGCAAAGACGGTTCGAGAGGTTGCCGCTCGTGAGGTAATCGTAGAAGGCAAATGTACGATGGATCTGTTGCACGGTCTCCTGTGTTTCATCGGCTGGTCAGTTTTCCTTATCACACTTTTAGTAACCGCATGACTTATCGTGATCTATAGGGGACACTTTCGCTTCTCTATGGGATCCCTTCTTACTATTTTGTCTCAGCTGTGCACTGCTCTGACGGTCGACCTGCAACTTCGAAGCCGGCATTGCGGAGAGGGTAATCTGATTCATATGTTTCCTCGACCGATTGCATCTCAGATTCAGGGAGCTACAGGCAGATTCCAGCCGAGGAGCATCGTAATTGCACGGACGGCATTGGCTTGCTACTTTCTCACATCATGGTTAGCAGTTCATTGAACTATTAAGAATACCGCTAATAGCGAACCCAGCGTTGCAACGTTTCAAACAGTTGGGGATAGTTTGGCCTGGTCACCATACCTTGAAGAGTGTCTGAAAATGATTCAATGCTCTAGAGGTGTACGAGGAGATGAACTGCTGGTGCAAATGATCAAGCTTCAACGCATAACGAGCAAGGTGACTGATGTTCGTATACAACTAAGAGATACCGACAGCGAACAAAGTACGCGTCTTATCCATCCATACATATTTTCTCTCAACACTCAATTATCCGAGACGAGAAAGCAATTACCCCCGCAATTGACCACGAATAGTACGTCTAATCTGCCACTCCTGATTCGACTGCATAACAGCCCTCACTGATACTCCATAGAGATGCTGGAAGCGATGTCCCTGCACACAGAAATCTGCATCAATGACCTTATCTTTACGCGCCTTGGGCATTGCCCTCTTCTAGATGATATCAACAGCATGGAGGTTCTTCTTAATTGCCTCAATGCAGCGAAACGCGCCGTGGACATCATGTTCAACTTCAAACCAACCGAGTATACATACTTCCCCTTCTTTCTGTGGAGGCAATTCCGAACCGTAATTTTAACCCTCATTCGACTCGCATCCTTCGAAGATCCGGCGTGGGACGTGAACATGGTTCGACGAACTGTAGACATTACGTCTATTCTTGACAAGACTGCCGAGAACCTGAGCAATGTACAAACCAACGTTGATGATGATATTACTGACCACGAAAACGTGGTTTCGAAATCATTAGCCTGGGTGAACAAGATGAGGTCTTGCTTACTCGCAGTTTATGGCCAGTCAACAGATGCCCAGGCCCCAACCTCTGAAATACAGAGCTCAATGGGCATACCAGGTGTGGAAACGTTGCTACCCAGGCAGCCATCCCAGGAAGAAGCTTCAACCATAGACATATTCTCATCACTCGATAATGAACTCTTTGGAGACGATGTCTTTGAGTGGTGGCCACCCTTATATTCGGGGAATGGGCTATAAATCTTGCTTATAGAAAGCATTTGATGTATAACTTTATATACTTTATTATACAATATTCTTTCCTTCCTTCTTCTATTCCTGTCCATCAAGTTCCCCCTCTCACCAACTCTGTTAGCCTATTTTACCTCAGCATAAACATCCAACGCATCGTGCAACCTCCCAAAAACTCCTCCATGCCACCCCCTCAACTGCTCCCACTCCGTCGACGGCAACGTAACCCTCGACATCCTCAACCACCCACCGACAATAAAATCCGCATGACTAGGCCTCTGCCCCAGCAAAAATGGCCCACTAGTGTCCCTCTCAAACATCTTCGCCAAGTCCCCCAGCATATCCCGGAACGAATTCAACACCTGCTCTCTCTTCTCCCCGTCAAGAGCAAAATCATCCCACGACTTGAACCCCGCCCGCCGGACAAACTCCGCCTTACTCTCCTCCGCCGTCTCGGGATCAAACGGCATCTTCTGCACCATCAACAAGGTGTGCACACTGAATGCCGCGTCGACATTATTATTGAACCGCGCGTAATCCGCATATTCGGTATCATTCCGCTCCGATAGTGGTACCAGCACCTTGAGCTCCTCCTTCAATTCATAGTCTAGGTTCTGCGGAGGGAAGAGATCCCCGTCGCCAGATGCGGGATAGGTCTTTTGTAGGTAGACGGCGATGTCGAAGGAGTCGCCGATGAGGGAGTTTGTGGTAGGGTCGGAGAGGATGGGGAGGGTGTAGAAGTCGCTACCGTCGGCGAATTTGCGACATGCGGGGAGGTTCAGGCTGCGGCGGACTTTGGATACTTCGGGGAGCTTGACCCATGTTGTGGAGTAGGGGGCGTTCTTGAAATTCAGGGCCAGGCGCGCTTTCCAGGGGTTTACTGCTGCGGCATTGCGGGTTACTGGGGGCCGCATGGCAATGTCGTAGTAGGTCATTGTTGGGGTAGGGTTGGAGGTGGTGGTTTTGGTTGCCATTGTGGATGGTGGGGAGGTCATGTAATAATTGGGGGTCGGAGTTGGTGATATTTGTCTGTATGAGGTTGATAGATTGGAAGATTGGGTATGACAATGTGCAATTGAGCTCTTGAATGGGAATTTCAGGTGATGTTCATGAGGATTGAGGTGGAGTTATATAGCTGGGCCTGCAGGGTAACGTCACGTGGCATGGGAAGCTCGGGTGGGGTAGAGTCCCCCGAATCTGGAGATCCTCAGGTGAGAGATCTGTGCTAAAGTGTAGAATTTTTAGTCTTTCCATGGCTAATTCTGGAAACTGCAGGCAGTTTGGGCTCAGGAGTGGGCTGTGCTATGATCGTGATTTGGTGTGTTCATCTCGACTCAGAATGACTCATGCCCACTCATGCTGGCCAAGTGGGTCCGTGTGGAGTACTGTCCCCACTCCCCGATTGATTTGGAGATTTGAGAGGCATACGGATTTCTTCAACGTCATTGAGTCCTGAAATGTCCTTTTTATACTGCATTGGGTGTGCTTATGCGCAGACATTTCAGAGTCTAAGCGAAGCTTTTCATCGCATGAGCTATACATGGGAATTTGCTCTACTCTTCTGTATCCCGCCCGTTGGTAAATTCTTAGGAATGAAATTTCTCTGGCACTGCTAACTCTTCAATGTCATAGATCTAAGAACCCGGTTTCAGCTGTGAGAAACAATTATCAAATGACAGCGACTAGATGCTTGGGTCCTTTTGAGAACTACAGAGTCTCAAGTATTCTTCGCACACCGGCAAAATCAAGCTCATCCATCGTCTCCTGCCACAGCTGCTCAATAGATTGCTTCCCCTCGGGCGTATACAACGACGCATTAAACCTGAACATACGTGGGTCAGTTATGATGTGAGAAATCCAAAAGAAGTCGGCAATACATACGGCTCAATCTTCCAACTCATCAGAAAGCACCCATGCGACTCCTTCCCTTTTAGTACAGCAGCATCAACGTACGTCGATGCACCAACCTTGACTGTCCTCCCTGTCAATGCTCCAAATACCGCCAACCCAGCCTTCGCATAACCAGGCGAATCCCGCCCCAGGTCCGTGCCTTTCACGAAGGCCGGATCTGCTAGGTTAACAATCACATCATCTGCGGCGACATATTCAGCCAGCTTATAGAGAAACGCATGAGCTAGAAGTTTTGACATGCAGTAACTGCCATTGACGTCATATGTATCTCGGCGATCGAACAACTTCAGAAGTGGCGCATCCTTCACGTCGGGTAAGCTTGGCAGAAGCGATAATGCTGCACTGACGACAGTCAATCGGCCAGACACTCCCCTCGGAGATTTCTTCTTCAAGCTGGGAAGAAGTAGAATAACTAAGAACATGGTTGAGAGATAGTTGACTTGGATTGTTTCCTCGTGGCCGGTGTTCGGATTGGTGGTGAACTGGGCTTGTCTCACCCCAGCATTGAGGATAGCAATATCTAGGCGGGGAAGATGGTTTTCAACCCGCTTTGCAAAGCTTTGTATGGAGGCATATGAGCTCATGTCAAGTGGCCATACATCTATCATTGACGTGGGATTAACGGCTCGAAGCTTAGCTGCTGCGGCTTCGCCCTTTTCAGGAGAGCGAACGGCGAGGATCAAGTGGCTCAGTTGAAGGGATAGAAGCTGGAATGCACACTCATATCCCAGTCCACTGTTTCCTCCAGTGATTATGGCAACTTGACCAGAGAGGTTTGTGGTTGCGGGTGGCCAGTTGGGCTTGGCACAGAATTGGTTATAAAAGAACACATTGGGGAAGAAGGGAGCAGTCGATGGGTCAAGGTCCTTTGAGGCCATTGTGGGTGAGATAAAACTTTTTTAGAGAAACTGCGGATGATCTCAAATAGAAAGTATTATCTTTGAAGTAGCCTGTCTAGTTCTCTTAATACCAGTTCCTGATGGTTCTATATATCACGGTTATCAGCCACTAAGCCCAAAGCGGCACCCAACGTCCGCGGACTTAAGCCGGGTGTTTGGCGCGGTCCATCCATTCTGATCCTTTTTTCTGTGCTGGAGATATGCTATCCCCGCGTATATCATATATGACATATCGCGTCTTAACTCCGATCCCGATAATATTATGTCGAGGCATACGCTGTAGCCAGGGATCATCTGATCCTTAGCCACCTTTGTATGCGTGGCCCTCAATCGCCACTACCTCTTACTTTTCATCCGACCATCATCATTAGATTCAAACAGATCAAATATATGTATCTGAATCCGTCCTCACCCATTTTGTAAAAAAAAAGCAGCCAAAGACAAGCTTAGGCCTCATTGACGGTGATTCGCCGCTGCCGTGGGGGCTTTCAACAAAGTATGGTAATCGATATCGCTGTTAAAGCTGGCGAGTCCGGAGTCACCGTTGGAAGTGGCAGGGTCCTTCCTAGAGAGACCGAACCATGTTCGTAACCCTGTAATGGTCGCTTGCGGAATAGAGGGTAGTTTGATTTGGCGTGTCTGGGTTTTGTTTTCCTCCGCTGGTGACCCCTCTGCTGTGCCACTCGATGAACCCAACACCGCGTTCTTGATTTGGGTGAAGTATTTCTTGAAAGCAGTTGAGACCTCGTTAGATCCGATCAGAGTGGACCGGTACACGGTGATGGATCCCATGGTGACTCCAATGCATCCCTCCAAATGAAGCCAGAATACCTGCCATGGGTAGTCGAGAAGTCCGTGGTACCACGTGCCTGCGGTGCGAATGATGGAGCATGTGCACATGAAGACTGAGAGACACAAGAAGCATCCAAGACCTAATTTCGTCAAGGTTCGTAACTGAACTTTGTAGAGCAATCGCATTGGAATACTAATGACTGGGAAATGTTAGTTATAGCTAATCCTCATCTGGCTAAGTGACATACTCATCATATCAGTGAGCGCGTCTAAGATCGGTGGAAGCCAGACCATTGCGAGGACCGTGCTGTTTGGGACGGGTAAAGAGGGGAAGCATTTTGCTTCACATGGTTAGTGTGGAAGGTTATCGCTGACGAGGGATCCTTACAGATTGCCTTCATTCCTGTATACGGGCAAGGAACGATCGGTGCGACAAAGGCGCTCAAGATCCACGAAATAAAGGATAACCCGACAGTGCAACGGTAATAAATGGTAAACCGGCGTGACATCCCCACCAGGAGGGGGTGGAAGAATGCCAGGTAGCACCACTTGACGGCAAAGACTGTGGTCCAGAGAAGGACTATAAAGGCGATGTTAAAGCCATAATCTTTCGCATGTTCTTCTAAATGTGAGGCCAGAAAGAGAAGTGCCTCAACATTCCCTTCTAATGCTGCCATCTGAAAGTAGATGGTGTATGCACGGAGAAATCCCAGTACCGTTCCTATCAGCAGCGTGGTAAAGGCAAAGCTAAGGAATGCATCGTCCAAATAGAGGCGTCGTCGGGTGAAGAGTCGGATGAAGATGCGGCCAAAAAACGACAGTGATGCTAACGCGAAGAAAATTCCAACGGCTATCTGGTATTCATACATATCTGGTTAGAGTTACGCCTTCGGATAATTATGCTTGAAATAACCTTACCCCATATTGCCGTTGGGTAATCCGACCGATGTCACCTATGACCGGCGGGGTCTGAGAAGCTTGACTAGACGTGAGATTTAGCGAGGAGATGTCCATGCTGAAGCTTTCCTGAATGATTTGAGCATATCGTTTACAGGTGTACATGCACTTCTTAGTGCACCTCTCCGACGGGAACACCGCTTTATGTATAACTGGGCTGTCAGACCCTGTGGTTGCACGAGTGTCTGGGTTGGATGTGCGGGGACTTGAGCGGCTCACTGGATTTCCTCTTACATACTCAATGCTGACTGCATTTTATCGACCTCACGAAGATGTAATGCCTCCCAAAAGAAGCAAGGGGCTTAAGGGTTGCCTTGAGATTCTCAGTCTCCCTTCGAACACTCAGCCTCAATTCCCAGCGCTTTGGACTTAGAAAGTGCGAAGTTGGGGTCGATAATCTCTCTCTTCCATTTTTCAAGCGTGCTTAGCAATAGCCATCTAGCTCTGCCT